AGTGTAGCTGGGGGCAGAACCAGTGATGGGGGGAAATGAGGGTGCCCTGCCCAGGCCGATCCTGCGATTGGAGGGTGATGGGGGTCAACGCCTGAGGGCTGCCAGTATGTGAGAGGGGGCAGGCTGGGCTGAGGGACACTCCCCCCGCCCCACACACACCCAGTGCACGAATTTCGTGCACCGGGCCCCTAGTATATATATAAAAGAATATGTCTGTGTATCTAAGGTTGATGTTAAATGTCTTTTGTTGAAGAATTATTACCTTAAGGTTGTGTTAAATAGGCTTGTTGTTCAGATGTCTGTGCTACATAAGGTGGTGCTGAGTACAATTTCTGACCTGCAGTTTGTAATATGTGTTTTCTTGCTATTAGAAGGGTTTCCAGCGTATACATGCTGGGTTATAAAGGTTGCCTGTTCAGTTGTCTGGATGGTGTAATAAGTTTGTCCTGCATAAGGGGCATGCTATAGAGATAGTGCCTGGTAAGTGGGCTGTTCCATAGGTTGCACAGGGTAAGCTGCTTGGATCCTATATGCTCCCTGGTCTGGAAAAGGTGACTGAACTGGAAGTTGCACTGGAAAAGCAGGCTTCCCTTGGCCTGGGGCTGAATAAGAGGGTTGTACCAGTGGGTGAGACTGGATAAGAAGTCTGCAAAGAATGAGTTGGTTGTGATCCCGATGGTTGTACAGTGTAAAGAGGATGCTCTCCGGCTGGCAGTATATAAACAGGCTGTGCTGGAGCCTGGATTGGGTAAGCTGAGTATGATGGGTAATAAGCTTGTTCCAGGGATGTATCCCAAAGAGCAGCTGCTCGGGAGCCTTCAAAGGAAGGATGGAAGTTCTGTGATAGTCCTGGATAAGTGTGTTGAACAGAATAAGATGGTTGTTCCAGAGGCTGAATTACACTTTCAATACCACCCTCTGGCTGCCAATGACTTGCATGAGCTTCAGATTCTTGCAGAATACACTGCTGAATACAGGCTTGGAAAAAAGGCTTCTTCAAATGCATAATCTGATTTTGTGGCACTGAAGAACCTGGAGATATGGACTCCTGATGTGCCACTGGGTATGGCTGTCGTACTGAGTGTATCTTTTGTGAAGCCCAATGGGCCCCTGAATGGCCTTCAATGGAATCAAAAGGGAGCTGTGCTGTACTCACATACTGAGCAGAGGAATGGCTTGACAAAGCTTAAGGGTGGTTTCTTTTCCAATTATATGAGCAATGTCTCAAGATTCCAGTTATACAATGTTAGTTTAGGTGCATCCTCAAGAAGAATGTCGTAGGTGAAGGAAAGCAGAAACTTTCAGCTTTCAGTGACTTTTATAAAAACCATGATGAATTTATGAAAGAGAGCCTTTGCCTAGCAGAAAATCTAGGCAGTGGTAGATATGTTTAACTGAATACAGGGCTTCTAAAATGTATCTTACCTTTGTCTGCGAGACTTTTTGGACAGTTAATGGAGACACCAGGGGTTGTGAGACTGGTGGTCCAAGGACATGTACAGGCAAAACAGTGGACTGACTTTGAGCCAAAGGCAAAATCTGGGGCTGAGCCAGCTGTGGCTGCTTCTGTAACAGTCAAATAAGAAAAAAAACCCAAAAACGATTAAAGATAAACCCTCCCATTTACAGTAAATATACTGATTATATATTTAAAAATATAACAGATCATCTTACCCCTGAAATCTGCTGGTAATGTCCTACTAGCTGTTGGGGTGGATAAATCTTCCCTGGAACATTCATTTCGGCCTGTGGGATGCTAGAAACCATTTGAGAGCCCATCACCTGGTCCGAGGAATAGCCTGTGCTGGGCTGACTTGCATCTGAGTGTGGAACTGATCCAGCTCCGGACTCGGATAAATTGTCACCTAGAACAAAGAAAATAAGCAACAGGTAGAAGTGAAAACTTGAAGCACCAGGTCAAAATGGCATAGGAAATAGTGTTTCTTTCATTTTTTTTTACACTGACAACCTGAGACATCTTCAAATAAAATATGTACAATGCAGAATTAATCAAAAACTCTCAGTGCAAACTCTGTGCTGACATGGTAGAATGGCAAAAATTTCCTAGTAAAGCAAAAGCTGAAAACAAAAAATCACATAAAAATCAAATCCATTTGCTGGCCATTTCACATATATCCTTAACTAACCTATACTTGTCAATAGGGTTTCAGTAAAATCTAAATGTCATATTCTTTTTTATTCTCCTAGAAGCTAGCTAGAGAATAATACTGTCATTATACAACAATTAGCTATTACTATGAAAATGCTATATCCTTCTAGAAAAGAGAATGCATGACAATAGAAAAATTAGAGGCACTGTGTTAATTTTATACTTGAGTACAAAATACAAAGGGTCTTAAAGTTTAGAAAATTCCTTTTTAAAGAAAAAAATCATACCCTTTAGTTCCTAGTTTTCTATATTAAAGGACTTATTTTAGACCCTTAAAATGGTAGAAAGATTAATCCTTATGCCACCAGTACCTTGGGCAAGTCATGTAACAGAACAGTTTCAAATAAAACTCGCTGGCTTATCTATTTCAGGGAATTTGTAAAAGGACTGATAAATGATAGATAATACTTTAAAAAATAAAAAAGTATTATCTAAAGATAAGGGAATATAATTACACATTTATTTGCTTTTATTTTTTTACTTTTTTTTAAGGGAGAGGAAGAGAAACATCGATGTAAGCACATAACATACCTGGGTTTCGGGCTTGATCCCTGCACACCCCCCCTACAGGGATCAAGCCCGAAACCCAGGTATGTGTCCTGACGGAATCGAACCAGCAACCTTTCGGTGCATGAGATGAGGCCAAAATGATTGAGGTACACCAGCCAGGCATTGTTCATTTTTATAAGTTATAACTATGTTACCTGTAACAGAGGAGCATTGCTGCTGTGGTTTTCTTTGCAGAAGCTGTTGTCGAACTTGTTGATCGACTTCAGTTTCTTCACACTCAGCTGCGGTGTGCTGAGCAGGAGCAGGGGGCAGAGCTGTATTCTGGGGTGGAGGGACAACACTCCCCACAGACTTGCACTGCGAATCCCTGCGTTCTTCTAAAGAGCCAGCTGGCTTCTTCTCTCTTGTCTTCTTTATCAGGGTCACGCGGTCTCTAATGGACTTAGCAACAGCTTTGGAATCACTTTCATGGAAGAATCCTGACTTGACCTACAAACAAAACATAAACAGCAAACTATATCTTTAACATTTAACCCTGGGGATCAATGGGGTGATAGATGTTTGCAGCAAGGTCCGCCCTCACATCTAACATTTAAGATTTTAACCTTTTTTTTTTAAACTAGCGGAGTTATTTAGTGCCCCCAAATCCCAAATGCTATCAAATAACAGTTTCTATGTTCTTTCTTAATTAGACATAGGTAAATGTCAGAGTCTTTAATCAACAAAAGGAAAACAATACTATCACCAAGCATTGTTAAAAGAATTCTGGTCTTAAATCAAACAAGCAAATAACTTGATGTTTCAGTACATGCAGTCTTATTATAGGGTATTTATGACTGCCCTGTTTTGTGACATTAAAAGGGTTTGCACACTCAGCAACATTAAGTGCCTACAATAGGCTCTAGAGACATAGAGGTGATTAAGTTGGCCCTTTGTCCTATATGAGCACACAATCTGATGCTGAGGGACAGATACAAGCTTAAAATGAAATGAGGTAGAAATGAGCTGCTGTAAAAGCCCTAAAGGAGCACATGCCTCTCAGGAGGAAGTAGAGAAAGTATCACAGAAGAAGATAAACTCTGACCTGGATTAAAACAAACAAACAGAAAAAGGAACTTGGCAGGCTACTGAGTGTAGATGACGTTTACAGATCAACACTCTAGGCAGAGGGAAGTATGCTAACAGCAAAGTACTACAGCGTGCTAGGTGTTAGAGGAGTGAGAAGTTAAGGACTTGCTGTCTGAGAGGACCAGGGCTGAGGAGTAGAAAAGACTTGGGGAGGTGCTATAGCCTATCATTCTCAGTCCTACAATCTGCATTTTAGAGTATGTCTTGGGAGTCTGCTGACTTGGGGAAATTTCCTGGTAGTTGAAAGATGATTAAAATGTGAGACGGAGTTCATATATTAAGTTCACTCCCTTTAAAAGCTAAAAAAACAAACAAACCCCGAAAACCCATAGTAAATGCATTTTTAAGTTATAAGCCCATAAGGACAGGGCGAATAAGAGAAAGACAACAGCAACAATAGTTGAGACTCCTTTGAATACGGAAAACAAGTAGATAATAACTGACTTAGCAAACCTAAAAGAGGTGAACTAGAGAAAGCTGAGATTCCCATTCACGCTTAACACTACTCACAAGGTGCAGAGACTGGTAGTACCAGGTACTTCCAAAACTGGGTAAAATCAAAAGAGATGACTAAAATAAGGAAGACTAAGGGAAAGGGTTTTGAAAAACAGATATGTAGGATCCTGTGCCCCGCCCTCCATTCTACTTCTTTCAGTGACTGCTTCTCCCCTACCCAAGGAGTCTGCAGTTTAGTTCTCTGGACTATGGAACACCAGGCACAATTGAGGATATGGCTTCCAAGTGGAAAACAAAAAGATTAAGCGACCATATGCATGCTGAATGCCATATGCAGAAACTTCTAGCCCTCTTCTCCACGTGGCTACCAAAATACCAGTAACCAGACCCTTACCCTCCAGGAAGGACAATGAAAGATTCCTCTCTAGGGGATCTGACCAATCCAAGAAGAAAAGCCAACAAATATTGATGTCAGAGATTCCCCAATTAATGGCTCACCCAGATACCCTGCGGTAGAGGTCAAAGTTAATAAGTCTGACACAAGCAGTCATACGGTCCTATCAGCTTGTCATGTCAGTCTCTGTGGTAGGCAAATGATGGCCCCTGGAAGATGTCCCTTCCTGATTCTCAAACCTGAGCAAATGATGACATGAAGGTAGGGAGATGATCTGGTTGAGCCTTTTACCAGCTGGTGACACTGGAAGGATTTAACATGCCATTGCTAACTTAAAGGAGACGTGGGGGCATGTGAAAGAACTGAAAGTGGCCCCTGGCTAACAGCCAGCAAGAAAATGGGGACCTTAGTCTTGCAACTGCACAGCATTACATTCTGCCAACAACCTGGATGAGCCTGGAAGCAGATTCTTTCCCAGAGCCTCCAGAGTAGAGCCTTGGTGGCCAACACCTTGACTTCAACCTGCGAAACCCCAAGCAGAGAATCCAGCGAAGCCCCCTAGGACTTCTGACCTACAGAACTGAGATAATAAATGAGTGTTGTTTTAAGCCACTAAGACGTCTGTGATCATTTGTCACACTGCAATAGAAAACTAATACACTCTTCCACTATTAATCATGAACAGCCAGCAGCCAGCCAAGAATTACGAGAAATATGAGAAAAGCCTCTAACAAGAAGATGGAGCACAAAGCTAACAAAGGAAAAAGCCAGCAAATTGGAGTAAAGAGACTATGCAGGGAGAAAAAAAATGTCAAAAGCACTCCCTTTACTAAGGTTACAGAAAGATGCGATAATATTGCATCAACACCACAAAGAACACGATTTTTACTCTAAAAAAGAAAAAGACCAAAGTATAAAGGAACTCTTAAAATTAAAAACATGATAGCAGAAATGAAAAACTCGATGGAAGGGTTAGAAGATAAAGTTGATAATATCTGCCAGAAAGGAAAATAAAAAGACAAAAAGATGGAACATAGAAAAGGTAAGAAAATTGGAGAAACAGTTCAAGAGGTCCGACATCCAAATAATAACAGTTCCAGAAAGAGAAAACAAGGGGGAAGAATGCATCAATAAAATACTTCAAGAAATCTCCCAGAAACTAAAGGGTATGAGTTGGACCTAGCCAGTTTGGCTCAGTGGATAGAGCGTCGGCCCTCGGACTGAAGGGTCCCGAGTTCGATTCTGGTCAAGGGCATATACCTCGGTTGCAGGCTCGATCCCCAGCCCTGGACGGGAAGCATGCAGGAGGCAATCAATCAATGTGTCTCTCTCACATCGATGTTTCTTTCTCTGTGTCTCTCCCTCTCCCTTCCACTCTCTCTAAAAACTGATGGAAAAACATCCTCAGGTGAGGATTAACAATACATAAATAAGTTTAAAGATAAATAAATGAAGGTTATGAGTTGACAGATTGGGAGGGTCCACTGAGTATCCAAGGCAGTAAATGAAAATAGACCCAAATCAAGACACATCACTGTGAAATTTTAGAATATTGAGAATGCCAACATATTATAAGCTTCCAAAGAGGAAAAATGGATCACGTGCAAAAGATCCAGAAAACAGAACAACTTTTGCACTTCTCAATATCAATACTGAAAGCTAGAAAAGCAATGACTCTTAATTTTTTTTTAACTGCACAACCTAAAATGCCTTAGCCAGCCAAATAATCGGTTAAATATGAAGACAGAATAAAGACACTTTTTATATATGCAAGTCTCAAAGAATTTACCTCCCATGTACCTTTTCTTAAGACGCTAAAAGAGGAAGTATGGCACCATAACAAAAGAGTAATCCACGGAAGAGAAAGATGTGGGATTTAGGAACATGAAGTCCAATACAGGAGAAAGGCAGAGAAATCTATGAGGACAGTGAAGGGAGATACCAGGATGAGAGCTGTGTGCCATATGTTCAAGGCAATCATTCCCGCTTAGAAGAGTGTGACTAGAAAGAAAGACCTGTTGTCTCCAAGATCTCCACTGTCACTGTCCCATTCTTGTTCTTCTTTTTTTTTTGTTAATCCTCACCCAAGGATATTTTTTCCATTGATTTTAATAGAGAGTGGAAGGGAGGGGAAGAGACAGAAACATCGATGTGAGACACATCGATTGGTTGCCTCCAACACACACCACGACTGTGGCCAGGGATCAAGCCTGAAACCGAGGTATGCGTGCCCTTGACCAGAAGCGGCTGACGCTCTAACCATTGAGAAACTGGCCAGGGCCCATTCTTCTTTTTAACCTGAGGACAGAATGCCCAGATGAGCCTGATTCACAGTATCTGTACTTCACTATGACCACATGCTGCGGAATGAAGCTCCTGCAAGCTCTCCCTCCAAGCACTGCAACAGCCCAGGTTGAGGACCCAGACAACTCATTCTGGTCCACACAACAGCCCCGCCGGTGCACTGACTGAGGGGAGCCACGTGTTTAGTTCCCTGGACTCCCATGTGACCTCACCCACTGACTTCCCCAGAAGGGGCTCTTGTAACCCCTTCAGGAAGCTGAAGCCAAACAATAACTGAGAGGTTCTGTTCAGCTCCTCCTCTTCTGGGCAGCTTCACCCAGGAGTAACTTCAGTAACCAGTGGGGTGTGTGCTCGCCACTCAGGTTTTCAAAACAAAACCGTATGTTACTTAGGTAAACTACAATGAAAAGCAAAGGAATGACACAAGAGTCAGAATAGATATTGCTGGTGGTGATGAGCGAGGGAAATGCAACCTGGAGGGGCACACAGATGGCTTCTAAGATACCAATTGTGTTCTGTTTCTTAACAAAGGTAGTATATTATCAGTCTTTATAGTGTGTACAAAGTTAATATACTCTGCTGTAGCAATACATTTCATAGTACAATATCAATGTAAACAAAGAAAAGGAGAAAATGAAAAAAGAAAGCAATGAGAAAGGAAATCAATGCTGATACTTCTAAAGGGCAGGGGAAATAGCAGTAGCATTCACTTACCATTTCATAGGCTACTTCCTCAGGGGTATCTTTTTCTAAATTGAAACTGAATTCAATAGCTTCATTGTCTTTGTGCTTGCCTTTCAATTTTTTAGGGTCTTCAACCCAGAGTCGTAAAGCCAGAGATGAATTTGAACAATCATCTTCCTCTGCTAACTCTACCCTCAGTCCTGTATCCTCAGCAAAAAATGCGTGGTTTAGTAGGTTCTTGATAGACAACCTAATAAACAAAATACATAGTTCATTATCAATCCTTCCAATCATAAACACATAGAACCTTTAAAATTAATTGTATCAAAGTAACAATCTATTTTAAAATTTCTATTAATTAAACTATTAATCTGCCTTGTCATAAAAACAAAATATTTTCTCTTATTATTACCAAGAATGCAAAAAAAAATTTCCAACTAACATGCATCTGTAGGGATCTTAATGAAAGATTATTACTAGCAATATATCTAGATACTGAAGTTTAACATGCCTAAAAGTATGCCTTAAAGAAAGTTGGAGATGGAGGGAGGGTGAATGGGAGGTAATCAAACCAAGGACCTTGTATGCATTTATGCATGGCCCATGGACACAGACAACTGGGCAGAGAAAGCTAAGGAGAATTCAGATTTTGCTGTACCTTTGTCTAGTGTTGGGGGACTTAAAGAATGGAAAATTAACACATGGCCTCTCTCCCAAAGACTACTGTAACAGCTGTGTGGTTACCAGGGGAGGAGTTTACTTGGATGGGGAAAGAAAATACTTCATTATAAATAATCCGTTTTTACTACCCAGGTTTGATTCCGGTCAAGGGCATGTACCTGGGTTGCGGGCACATCCCCAGTGGGAGATGTGCAGGAGGCAGCTGATCGATGTCTCTCTCTCATCGATGTTTCTAACTCTCTATCTCTCTCCCTTCCTCTCTGTAAAAAATCAATAAAATATATTAAAAAAAAGAATTATTAAAAAGAGAGAGAGAGAGATTTGGAGAAGTGCTGCAGTTCATGTTACGTGAATTGAGTAGTTTCTCTAAACCACTGGCTTAGGTTATTAAAACACATTGCAGACAGATCACGCAAATTCTCGTGTTTTCATATTACAGTGTTTTACTTTAAAAAGATAGTAGCTTGTAAGAACATGTAATAAATAACTTCAAAATGCAATGGGTATTTAATTTTAAGGCATGCCTTTAACATTTATGTAAAACGTTTTTTGTACTCATTCAATAGAAATTTATCTGGCCACTGGGTAAAGCTTGCAATAAAACTACTAGTCCGCAATGTGTTAAGACTCAAGCAACATATTGTCTGCCAAGGAAATGAAAAACTCTTCCAGACTTGTAAACCCTAAATTAAATTAGAAGCTCAAAATCTTTGCAATTGTTATAAATAGAACTTGTAGCCCTGGCCAGTGTGGCACCAAAAGATCGCTGGTTCGATTCCTCGTCAGGGCACATCCTGGGTTGCGGGCTCGATCCCCAGTAGGAGTCATGCAGGAGGCAACCAATCAATGATTCTCTCTCATCATTGATGTTTCTCTCTCTCTAAGATCAATAAAAACATTTAAAAAATAGAACTCGAAAAAAAAAATAGAACTCGTAGACTTCATTAGCCATAATCTAGTCAGTGTATGTTATTCTTTAGAGCATACCATAGGTGAAGCTAATTTACAATTTAATTCAGTAAAGTCCCATGGTTTTCTTGAAGTATTTATGTCTAGTGTTTTAGGCCAAAGTATACATACAATGGATAAAAGACTAGCCTAGTATCAGGGATTAACCATCTTTGAAGAAAAAAAAGTACAGGGGTTCTAAAGATTCTTTTACAAGCTGGGAAATTAATTTCCTTTCCTTTGACCAACTTCCAAAATAGATATATAATTATCTAATCTATCTGTATTACAGGCCAGGGAGCACTAAAATTGATGTATTCCATAATGTCTATGTAGAAAGCCCCTCCTGTGCTATTTAAAACAGATAAAGCATATTGACAAAGCGTTATCCTGTAAGTTAAGGATTTAAACCCTCTACATATTTAGTGATCAAAAGACAAATAACCCCTAATCAATAAAGAAAAAAAAAAGAAATAGAAGAAAAAAAGACAAATATTTAACTAAGGCAGTAATATACAAAGAATAATCTTGCTCAGATTAATTAGTTTTAAGGTTAAGGTGAGGCGTGTTTAAGAAAGCACAACCACGTTAAACCTTCTACCTTCAATGAAAATTTTGCCTATTTGACTAAAGAATAATTATAGGAATCGCAAAAGATACCATTCATTAAGTACATATCATTCTGTTAGAGATTTTATATGCATTCATTATCTTTTTAATCATCAAAACAATGCCTGTTTTGAGTAACAGTTAAATCAATATCACACTGATTAAGTGAGTCCAGATTTGAATTTTAGGCTCACACTGAAACCTGTGCTCTTTCCAATAAATATGCCATGAATCCTTTTGAATATTCCAGTGTTCTTAATAAATCGTAATTAAAATGCTGTACAAACAATAATCAGAATCCAAACTAAAATGGCTACTTCAACATAGTATTTTTAGCCTTGCTTAAAAAGAGCAGGCCTAAACTCCTACAGCTCAAAAAGAACAAAAATAGACAACTCAATTTAAAAAAGGGCAAAGGACTTAAATAGACAATTTTCCAAAGATATGCAAATGGCCAATAAGCACATGAAAACATACTCAACATCATCAGTCATTAGGAAAATGCAAATCAAAACCACAATGAAATACCACTTCACACCCACTAGGATGGCTATTACCAAAAATCATACAAACAAACAAACAAAATAAGGATTGGTGAGGATGTTGAGAAATTACAACCTTCCTACATTGCTGTAGGGAATGCAAAATGGTGTAGCTGCTGAGGAAAACAGTTGGATGGTTCTTAAAAAAAAATTAAATGTAGCCCTAGCTAGTTTGGCTCAGTAGATAGAGCATCGGCCTGTGGACTAAAGGGTCCCAGGTTCGATTCCAGCCAAGGGCACATGGCTGGGTTGCAGGCTCGATCTCCCATAAATAGGGGGAGGGCAGGAGGTAGCCGATCAATGATTCTCTCTCATCACTGATGTTTCTATCTCTCTATCCCTCTCCCTTCCTCTCTGAAACCAATAAAAATATTTTTAAAAAATTAAATGTAGTATTACCATATCATCCAGTAATTCCACTCGTAGGTTTATACCGAAAAGAATTGAAAGCAGAGATTCAAGCAAATATTTGTACCCCAATTTTCATGCAGTATTCATAACAGACAAAATGTAGAAATAACCAGTGTCCATCAGCAGAAACATGAATAAACAAAATGTGGCATTTTTATGTGTGTGTATGTATGTATATATGTGTGTTATAGTATTCAGCCTTAAAAAGGAACGAAATTCTGATACATGCTACAACTTGAAAACTATGCTAACTGAAATAAGCCAGACACAAAAGGAGAAATACTATATGATTTCATTTATAGGAGGTAACTAGAATAAGCAAATTCATAGAGCTAGAGAGTAGAAGAGAGATTACAAAGGGTTGAGG